TCACTTTAAGTAAAGGAATGGGAATAGAGCTGAGATTGGAATACTTTGTCAGAGCACAATAGCAAGAAGTTAGGGATGAGTGGGATGAAGCTTATGTGCTTGAGATCATGAAAGATGAGGCAGCAAAGTTGTATTATTACTAGAGTCATTGATTCCAAAACCCTGATGGGAAGCAAACTCTATTGAGATTACCGTGGCCATAAAGTATATGATGAAATGGAGAAGAGTAAAATTAAAAGCCAAAGTACCTCTTGTGAAACTATTACATTATATTCAGAAAAGAAGTACAGCCAGCATTGATGGCGAAAGAGGAAAAAGACGGTATATTATAGAATATCATCTATGGAATTTGACAATTAACTAGATGTAGGAGTGCAGTGGGAATTTAGGAAAAACAAGTCTTAGTCCATTAATGCCCCTATAACAAAGCACCTCAGACTGAGTAATTTACAGACAATAGAGATTTATTTCCCAGTCACAGAGGTAGAGGCTGAGAAGCCCAAGGTCAAGGTGTCTGTAGATTCAGGTATCTGGTTAGTTCTCACTTTCTACTTCTTGCATTTTCACTTGGCTGAAGGGTTGGAAGGGACAAAGGGATAAAAGGATAAACTTGTTTCCTCAAGCCCTTTTATAAGGGCACTCATCTCATTTCTAAGGGCAGAGCCCTCCTGGCTTAATCAGCTTCCGGTGGCCTCTTCTTAACACCATCACTTTGGGATTTAATTTCTAACATATGAATTTTGGAGGTACATACACATTCAAACCATAAGGAGAGGTATAAATAATGTTCTGATGAATAGTGAGTGATGATTCATCAAAATTTCAAAGTCAGATGTTATCACATAGGTTTAAGCAGAAAAAATATTTTAATAGAATAATTTGACTCCTGGTTTCCACCTGTCATCAAACTGATGTTTGTATGTTTCAGAGCATAGATAGAATAAGGAAATGGAGTAATACTTTATTTTATGTATTTTTTCAGGGTTTATATTGTGAGGAATGTCTGAATATATACCATGAAATAGTAATATGTAAGAATCTTAATAGTGCTTTGGGATTACCTGAGTATTTTTCTCCTCATCATTCAACTAAAGTCTTGCGAGTTAATTCTGGTGAGATAAGCCTGATATGGTGACCTCCTGTTTACAGCAGTAAGATTCGTTCAACCTCAGAATGTTTAAGTAAACCAGCAAACTGAGAAGTTAGAACTTGAACTCAGGTCTTCTGACTCCCAATCAAGAATAGCTTCCAGATGTAGAAAAAGTTGTATTTTTTTTCCCTATAACATGATACAATTTCAGAGCTGAACAAAACCTTAATGATTAGTTATTTCAGAGACTGGCAAGCATTTCTGGAAATAACATACAGTAAATATACTTGTTTTGCAGGCTACACAGTATTTGTCACAAATACTGATTGCTAACACTGTAGCATTGAAGCAGACATAAACAACGTGTGGTAAAGGAATGGTTCCGATAGAACTTTTACAGAAACAGGCTTCAGGCAGAATTTGATCCATGGGTTATAGTTTATTGATCCCTGATTTACTCTCTCTGAGCCTTATTTCTGAAGAAAGAAAAATATTGTCACTCTAGAAAGTTTATTAGACTTGTCCAGGTTTCTTCTGGCCGTAGCATAGCAATCTATTTAATCTTGCTGCTTTTTTGATCTAATTGGCAAGGTTTGCCTATTAGATCAAATTCTCTAATTTTATAATTATAAGGACATTCTCTATCCTCAGCCTTATAAAGTATGGTGCAAATATTATGCTAATTGGCCTTTTTGGTGCTCATGGAATTTGTTTAGGTAGTCAATAGTATCTTAATTGTGCTGAAAAAAGTTCATTGATTATATATATCTTTCTCTGGAGACTCGCAGACATACAGTCCCTTGAAATGTTGATCTGCCTTTCTTCAGGATTCTTCACTCTGCAGCATCGGAAAACAAAGTCTTTAATAAGCACAATTGGCAGCAATGGCATCTATTCAATGTTGCAACTTAGACTCCTAACAGATCACAGGAAATCTTAAAATTGTTCCCTCGATCTCATACTCCAAGGGACCTATAATTAATTTTGAGTTGTTACTTATACTTAAGTCAAAAATAAAATATTTATAAAGTTGTGTTTTGTATTTTTCATTTGATCATTCTTTGGGGAAAGACGCAATATATTTACATAAAATAACATAATGCAAAACAACCAGATATTTTCCAAGTGTGTTTGATTTGTTATTCAAGTACGAATCCTGCTAGCAACCTTAGTCGAAGGCCAGAATTTTATGTCTATAGTCAGAGCCCTATGATTTGATTTTAGAAAACCTATCTTTATTACATTTTCTGCTTTTAGAGGGCTCTGTGTTTTATGTTAATGTCAGGCCAGTTATGTTCCTCCACGGTGCGTGGTGTTTAAACCAGAAGATTAAAAACAAGTTAGAAAAATTTTCTGCTTAGAGTTATCCCCATCCAACTGTGTGTGTGAGTGTGTGTGTGTGTGTTTGTGCATGTGTTTCAAGAGATCAAATATTAACTATTTCTTTGCAATCCAAACACACTTTTTAATTTTGAATGAAACTGATAATACACATACTTCTAATTTAGCTTTTCTTTTCCTCATGAAGAAGGCAGTAGAAGCTATCTGCATGTCATTATAAAACTACTCTTTCAATCTAAGAAGGAAGCCAGAATGTGAGCCTTGGGGGAGTCTCTGTTTGTGTCTATATTCAAGTTTTGCTGTCTCTGCTATAATAAATGAGTTCTTATATAATCATATAGAGTTGAAATCTTGGTGGTTGCTATAGGGAAAATATAAAATGAAAAGTAGTATCAGGCAGTGATAGTATTCTCCGTTTGGAGCAGACTTAAAGTAAACACAAAGTTAAAGGCAAAAACCAGATATTATTTCCTACTTATATCCTGAATATAGTCTAATGTTACATTGGTATTTAGAGATGTAGGAGAAAATATTTTGGGAAGTTTATAAAAATAAATGAGATACTAAAGCATTTTGAAAATCAAGTGTTGAGGATTATTGGGAAAAAATGATCAATGCTTTGCCTTTGGATATTTTGAAAATTTTTGTAAACATTTAAAAAATGGAACCTTACAATGAGGTGAAGACAAAGAAAAACAGAAAAAGATAAACTGCAAAGAAAGAAGATAAAAATAAATGAACAATTCTATTAAAACCAACTTATGGCCAAGCGCAGTGGCTCACACCTGTAATCCCAGTGCTTTGGGAGGCCAAGGCTGATGGGTCACCTGAGGTCAGGAGTTCAAGACCAGCCTGGCTAACATGGCAAAACTCCATCTCTACTAAAAATACAAAAATTAGCTGGATGTGGTTGCAGGTGCCTGTAATCCCAGCTACTCAGGAGGCTGAGGGATGAGAATCACCTGAATCCGGGAGGCAGAGGTTGTGGTAAGCTGATATTGCTCCACTGCACTCCAGTCTGGGCGACAAGAGCGAAACTCCATCTGCAATGAAAAGAAAAAAACCAAAAACTTATTCCACAACTTAATGTACTACATTTTTAAAAATTACATCCCTATTTTCTTATCCTTGGCAGATTTCTTTCTTTGTTACTAGGAAAGTACATGTTAGTTTATATGGATATTTGAAACCAACTTTAGTGTACAGTTTCATCACTGATCACTGTGGTACCTAGATATGAGATGCCATGAGAAATATTTGTAGTTATCCTGTGTCACTTGGGAAAGAAGTAAGTTCATTCAGCATTGATTTGCAGTAATTAGTGCTTAGCTTTGTGTTAAATATTGTGTTCAAGAAAGGGGAGAAGCATATACTTTCCAGCACAGAATTGGTAATACTTTTCTGGAATATGGATTCAGTATTATGTTTTTATTTTCCTTTTTTCTTTCCTTCCTCCTTCTCTCCTTTTCTTTCTTATTTTTTCTTCCTTTCTTTGTTATTCATTGAGACTTCTTTTACATTCAGCCTTTTGTATTTTCACAAAAGGGATTTCTGAATATTGCTACAAACTATAGTTTTGTAGTAGGAGCATTTCGAATACTCATAATTTGTTGCTTTTGACCAAAGTCCATCATAATTTCTAGAGTAGAGAACGGGCATACTATGAGCCGTAAGCATCTCAGATGTTTTAAGTAGAATAGAGTTAGAATGAGTTTTTGAATGTGAAAAAAAAATCCAAATGAATTTCATTGCATCAGATAAGCACATTTCTCGTGTAAGTTTGGCTTTACTTTCGGTGTAATGAAGTAAGAAAAAAAGAGTTGTTGGAAAAGTAAAGTCCTTTTATAAAGCAGTAAGAAAGTCGTCTTTCCTAAAATTGTCTCTTGAGTTATCTTTACACAACTGCATCATTTTGAAACAAATCACAAAATAAGGGTTATGTACAAGATGCTCTAGATTGAAAGGTCTTTGTATATACATCTTTGGATCTAGAGAAACATAGTGACATCAGCCTTTGATTATCATTAGATGGATAAATTCTAATTCTAGGACTGTATTTAAAACATTTCAACATACACAATGATATTATATGTTCTGGGAATGTGGCACACTGGGGTTATTTTTAACGTAATTATAGATGTCTGACTGGTCGTCTTTGAAATAAATTATTTTTAAAAAAGGCTTTCATGGAAAAGTTAGAATTCTTCATGGTTCAAGTCATGTTTATCTTGGGAAAATTCAAAATAAACTATTTGAATAAAAATTCGTTTGCTTTACAATTGTCCAGATTAACTTTACAGAAATTTTTTGTTAATTGCTAAAATATCTAGTTTGTTCAACTACTCATATTGTACTTCTCCTGTCATTGTAAAACAGTTAAAGAAAATGGGAAAACATGGTTTCGAGGTGTTGGTTCAGAAAAAAATATTAGGATAATTATAATACAGGAAAAGAATTAGCTGTACATGCATTTTTACTGTAGACCAGGGTTCCTTACCTCTAGGAATCAAATCACTATATGTAGATACAATCATTTTTACTCTGTGGGTTGTTTACCTCCATTTTGCAGATTGTTTTAAATTTTACAACGATGGATCTTTACAAGAGTAGTTTGTGCTGGTATGACTACATTGAAGTAAGAGATGGGTACTGGAGAAAATCACCTCTCCTTGGTAAGATATCTTTTCCATCTTATGTTGCTATGTATTAATTCTGTCCTGTCCAAAGAAAACCAACTGATTCTCTCGAGTCATCTTAGAGTTAAAAATGTGTGTGACTAACATTATTTTTATGTTAATTATACTTTTTTCAACCATACCAAAAATACTCGAAGACAAATGGATAAATACATTCACTGATCAACTAATTTGAGCTAGCTTAAGTTATGAGGTGGCCGCTAGGATTTGAACATAATGATTGAGAATAGCTTTCTCATGTATTGTGCCTATCATGAGTACTCATCGCAATGTTTCTGTATTTTTACTTTAAGAATCAGTTTCAACTTAAAAAAAAAAACTAATTTGGGGTGTACATGTTGTGTGTTTGTGTGTTTTGTTTTTGTTTTGTTGCTAAGCCAGTGGTGTAAACTGTTAGGTACATGTTTGGTAGCTGGCTTCCTATGTCAAGCATATTAACTCTTATTATATTATAGATGTCACAATTTTGCTTCTCAGAGAGTTTTCTGTGGCTAAGAAGAGACATTTGCAGTTTGTGTCATAAACTATAGTCAGATTTGGTGCTCATGAAAGTCTGCTGCCAACATTTAACCACAGACCACACTATTAACTTGCATAGGCAGTTTACTGTTGCCCTCTGTTTTACTCAAAGGTGAGAGCTGTTTGGAGCATGCAGGCATCCACTCTATAACTCTATATTGATCTTTTTCTGAGATTGTAACTTTTTCTTTACTCTTAGAAGTAGTTTTGCTCAGTCGAATTGATGAACTGTGCAGCTCTTTTAACATCTAACACCTACTGAATGGGCACAATTGTATTAAAAGTGACAGCAGCCACAGTAAATCCAAGAGATCTGTAGAAATGTTTAAAAATAAAGAATTGAACGAATGTGGTAAGTCAGATTGAGGAAAACATTGTCTTCTATATTTAGTTTCTTAGCCTAGATAAAGCAATTTTTTACATATGTATGCACAGGCCAAAGAAAATATTTCATTAAATTCATATTAGAGAAACAAACCTAGAGCTAAAATTCTTCTTTTTAGAGCACCATCAGCATTACATGGCTCAATGTATAATGGACCACCAGAGTGAGGCAGTGTAATCATGGTTTTTATGTGAAAAGCTTTCCCTACCATTTCTTCTAAGACCTTGCTCCAAAAAGTGCAGCACTTAGATTGGTAGCATCAAAATCATCTGGAAAATTGGAATTGTAGAAACTTGGCTCCCACTCTATATCCTCTGAATTAGGGTTTGCATTTGAATAGATTTCCTAGAAATTCAGATGCACATTATAGTTTAAAACATACTGCTCTGTGTTACCTGCCTCTAATTTGCTTTGCAATTTAGGAAAATATGTCTTCACCTGTTAGCTGTTAGCATGAACTTGCTTTATGCAAGTTGGCTACCATTTTTCATACACTAAAACTATGTATGCCATTTCCAGAGACACATAAGAATGGATAACATTGTAATATGTTTGTAGAATTGTTGCATGTGCTTTATCATATTTAAGCATTTTGTGATCATGTGAAAGCTTAGAGCATAGAGGCAGAAGTAAGCATAAATATTTGTGGAAAGATGGGGAAGAAAGGAAGGAATGACAGGTATTATATTCCTTTGCTGTAATTCATATTTCTGGATACAGAATTAGAAGACATGCTCAAGTCTTCTGATAGTATTTGTTATTCTGCCTATAACACCACAGATTATAGCTTTGTGATGACATGGAATGCGTGCAGTGATAAAAGATACCAAGAGCGGCCTCAGGGTTTTCCTAAGGAGTTGCTATTGAACCTGGGTGAATTAAGAACTCCCCTCCGAGCCAAGAGCACACTCTTTCTTTCTTTCTTTCTTTGTTGGAAATGGAATCTTGCTTTGTCACCAGGCTAGAGTGCAGTGTTGCCATCTTGACTCACTGCAACCTCTGCCTCCCAGGTTCGAGTGATTCTCCTGCCTCAGCCTCCCAAGTAGCTGGGACTACAGGCACGCACCACCATGACCAGCTAATTTTTGTATTTTTAATAGAGACGAGGTTTCACCATATTGTCTAGGATGGTCTTGAGCTCTTGACTTCGTGATCTACCTACCTCAGCCTCCCAAAGTGCTGGGATTACAGGCATGAGCCACTGTGCCTGACTGAGAGCACATTCTTAACCAAGTCATTTCCCTGCTATTGGCCAGGTTGACAATTTGAAACCATTTTCTTAGGGTGACTTGAACCTTTTTTCTATTTCCCGTTAAATAATATACCCCACCTTAATGCATCATTTGACCTTTTTCAAATATTGTTTTTGAGTAACTATCTTACTTCTACATATGGTAACAATACTGACATCAGTCAGTTACTCTGAGGCTGATAGTCAAATGCTTTATAAATGTATATGAAAAGACTGTTTTGTTTATCTACCATTAGTAAGTAAATATTAAGGCATAGTTGTGGCTGCAATCACTTGGAATGGAAATGTGAACCAAATCAGTGTTTACATATTATTTGTGGCTAGTACGAAAAGAACGTAGAATATAGAGTCCTATTTAGGAGTTTCTCTTTATTCTTTTTTTTCTTTTAGGTAGATTCTGTGGGGACAAAGTACCTGAAGTTCTTACTTCTACAGACAGCAGAATGTGGATTGAGTTTCGTAGCAGCAGTAATTGGGTAGGAAAAGGCTTTGCAGCTGTCTATGAAGGCAAGTCACATTGAATTTTAGAGAGTAGTTCATCTTATACCTCAACAGAAATGTTCATTTCTTAATTTCGTTACAATGACATTATTACCATATTTTAAAATTATGAATTTTTCTGAATCTGTGTTATATTCATACAGATAATTTTAATAAAAATACTCAGTAAATTTAATTGCAAGAATAACCTGTTTTCTAGTATCAGTGATGTAACAATATCTAAATGTGTTCAGGATGTGTGGAGAAAAAAGCAAATGGCACAAGCCTTCTTAAAGTTTCATTGTTTCTTGATAGTTTTAAAACATTATGAAGACATTATCATTTTCCTTTGTACTGATTTTGTGTCTGTTTGGTCCCTGTATTCCTGAAATACTTTTTATTAGAGGAAATTGCACAGAAAGTAATTGTGGCGATTTCTGGGGCATGCTTTATCTCAATAAGAAAGTCAGCATTTGAGGAAGGACTTAGAAAATGCTTTGTTTTATCCTTCTCTAAAACAATAAACTGGCATTGTGCTTTCTTGGCTTTAAAACCAAGCTGCTTTCTCGCCAGGTTGTGGGTGGAGGAGACACTTCCTAGTACAGCAGTTTATGTAATTTTGAAGACAGAAGATTTCTGCTTCCCTTAAACTTTTAAGTAAATGGAAGCATTTTGTTTTAAGGATTAACTGCCTAGTAGTGAAGAGGATTATTTGGAGGGAGTCACAGACGCTACGCGCATGACACTAACTCACTGCCAGAGACCCAGTGAGTTCCGTTCAGGATGAGACTCCTGTTTTGATGAGCTCTTGTACCTGCAGTCGAAAGACCAAAGGGAGCAGCTCAGAGAATCACAGAACAAACTCACAGAGAATAAATTCACAAAGCCACTAAAGGTTTTTAAAGGTTAAAAAATACCTTTTGGTTAAGATAGGATTAAAATTTATTTATTCCTTGACCATTATCTAATATTTGTAGTTATTTGACTAGGTTTTTTTTTTTTTTTTTTTTACCATATAAATATTTACTACATTACAATCAGTCAACTTTGATTTTTATAGCCTGGTCTTTATGTACTGAACTACAGGAGCTGAACTTCAATATTAACCTAGAACAAAATGAAAACGAAATGGCATGTCTAGGCTTAGTTATTTGTTTGTTTTTTGGCTTTCTTCAGCGATCTGTGGAGGTGAGATACGTAAAAATGAAGGACAGATTCAGTCTCCTAATTATCCTGATGACTATCGCCCGATGAAAGAATGTGTGTGGAAAATAACAGTGTCTGAGGGCTACCACGTCGGGCTGACCTTTCAGTCCTTTGAGGTAAAGTCTTTTAGGCTATCTTCCTGGCACATATTCTCCATAAATGACAATGGCATTGAAGAGAATCCTCATTAAATCTGCAAAGAAACAGAGAGTCAGCCATTTAATCAGCAAAGAAGCAAAGGATCGCTCATAAAATGCAACATCAAGAGCCTAAGAGTTTTTTTTTTCTTCTTTCCTCATTCACAGACATTTTCAAGAAGATTAAAGTGAGTTTACATTATCTGTGCTATTTGAATTAGAATGTTTGAAGTACTGACAATAGTTTCTTTTGACAAATGCACAGGCTGATTTCACAAGAGGGTCCATTAAGTAATAGAAGTTTTATTTCTCTTCTAAACTAAGAGGTTAAAAGGTAGACAGTCTTCCTTGTAAGAGGAACAAAACATTTTTCACCTTTTTTTTTTTTTTTTACCATTACACAGATAATTGTTTATATCAAAAATAGGGATTTTAAGTGTTCTTATAAGCTTTCAACCTCCTTAAAAATATTCGTCAGGGAGATCAGCAGCATTGTTGTGTTATTCGAGGAAGGGCCAGAAGAAATCAAAGTCCAATCAGAAATTTTGGATCAAAGTCCGGATCCAGAACTAACACACTGGTCCATGGGTCATTTTTGCGGGATGAAAGGGACGGAGTTAAAGATTTAAAGTCAGGAAATAGGGGAATTTCTCAGGAACTCCAGAGGATGTTTAAATGAAAGAGTTGGTCTAGAAATGGAGAGTTCAAGCTGAAGTGGAGAGGAACAATGAGGTCCTGGTGGTAGGTCCCAGCCAGGGTTAGAAATTTAGATGCATGATTGGAGATGGAGACTTTACTGATTGGAAGATTCATTCACTAGGTGATCAGAAGGCAGTAGTGAGCGCTACTACCCATTGGGTAGTAATGAGCACTGTGAACACTACCTACTGAGGGCAGTGATCATGGTCATGGTTGTGTGTCTGCACCTGCAGCAGGAGCACCAGGAGAATCCAGGCATTGCCAGTAAACCCAGAGAATCTCTCATCCTCATCTGCAAGCCTGTGCATTCTGTTTCTTCAGTACTTGTCTCTGTCCCCTTGCATGTACCACCCAGATGTATTTCCTTTTGTTACCAAAAAATATATACTTTCTACTTTAATCATCATGTTGTATTTTATGCTCCTGACCACTTTATTTATTTATTTATTTTTGTACTTTTGGAAACTTTGATTCTGCCATTATTTGATTGACAGTTGAACTTTGTTATTTTAATGGACTAATAGATTTGCAAATACTGTTCAAATAGACCAGTTTATGGTTGACAGTGAACTAAAATTGAGTAGAAAAATTTCACCCACGATTTAGACCAAAAAAAAAACTGATAAAAATTATCTAAGCAATGCCTGTATTTGCTGTGTTTTGCGATATTTCAAGAATAAAGAGATTAACTGTCTTTTAACATGTAATTCAGTTTTTTTCTGGAATTCTACTATAGACATGATGCCAGAAAATGCATTCATTCCATCAACCTGAAAACTGATGCATGAAATTGCTACCTTAGTTGATTTGTACTTTATTTTTTATTTATCAATGCAATAACAGTGATAGTCTTCAAAAATAAGATAGCATAAGGAAAAATGAAAAAGATTTGCACCTCAGACACTTATAATTATGCCTGACACACAATAGTCACTTAATAAATACTTGCTTACTGAGTGGATGAATCAGTGATGACTATACTTCATGACCTGGGAAAAATCATGTCATAGGATGGCTGAGAGTACATTTTATTTATTGTCTCTAGTTTCCTGTCCTATCTTCATATTACTTTATTTCTATATGTTTCTGCCTCCCTCATTTATATGTTAGACATATTTTGATATCTGGTAGATCTCTTGTCTTTAAATGACCAAAACTGAACCCTTGCTTATTTTGTCTCACTCACTAAGCCTGCTCTTCTTCTATTTATTTCAGTACTATTTCAGTACTTTTTGTCACCACTTATCCAAGGAACATCCTTAATTCTACCTTTTCTCTTAAGCCCTGCAGCCAACCTATCAGCATATTTCAGTTGCTTTGTCTCTAAACTATACCCCATACACGATGACTTTACACCACCACTGTTCTCACCGTCCCCCTCTTTGCTTGGAATTCACAGAGAGAACCTCGGGTCTCTACTCTTGCTCTGCATATCCCGTTCGTCACCTCACAACCAGAGTGATGCTTTTACAATGTATGTTAGATTATGACACTGTTCTACTTACAGGGGGTTTCCATCACATCTAAAATAACATCTAGACTTGATTATCATGGGCCACGTCACTTGTGATTTGGTCTTTGGCACCTCCTCACTTCCTCTGTGTCAGCTCGTCTCACCCTCTTTCTCTTTCTCAGAAACACCAACCTCACTCCCATATCACAGCGTTTACCACTGATGTTCCTCTGCCCCAGGTCTTTGCTTTTACTCTCCTGTTGCTTTATTTGGATCTCTGCTTAATTGCTGCCTTCTTAAAAAGTTCTTGGCTGATAACACTACTTAAAATATTGTCTTACCTATAATTATCTCTAAATCATCACTCTGTTTTATTTTTAGTTAATTGCACTTCCAGCTACTGGAATGTATGCTACAGATCTCTTTATGTACATGTTTATTATCTGTCTCTCTCACTAGATTATGTCCACCACCGGGTTGGGTTCTTACCTGTGTCTCTGATCATTTTATCTCCAGCAACATTGTTTGTGAGATAATGTTTGATAATAGACGAGATAAATGGATGGATAGATTATACGTAAATCAATGTTTGAGTGTGTGACAGTTGGCGGATGGAAATGAATATATCCTTCCTTTATTAAAGGCTTGTAAGTTTCCATGCAGAGGGAAACAAGCCTGGATAGATAAGAAATATTTGGATTGTGGAGTACCTGGTATGCTGAAGTTAGACTGAATTTAGACTAGAGGTGCTGAGTTTCAAGAAATTCACAAGTAACAGGATTTAAAGGTACCTAATAAACATCTAAATCTTCTAGGTAAGGAAACTCAGTTTATGCCGTTAACCTAGTATCACACAGGCGAGTACTAAAAAAGCATTAAAACCCAGGTACATTTGATCCTGATTTTATTTGCAAATTTGCCTATTTACTAAAAGTTTGGAAGCCTAAAATTAATATTTGCAGTGCCTTCTGGGTCATTCACAGATGTGTACACAGCAGCAAATTTTGAGTCACCTAATGTGCCCATTGCCAGCTGTCATGTGCCTTACTGAGAAAATATGTGTGTCAGATTATCTTCGTTCAGACATGTATGGTGTATATATAGTGCTGTTGGTTGAAAGTTCAGTATTAATAAATGGGCAACCTGTATTAATGCGTCTTTAAACAGAAACACACAAAAACAAAATGTTGTGACTAGAATCTCACAGGAACTCTAACCCTGGGAGCAATGAATCAGTACTTGCTAGTTCAGTATTCTGAGCAACTGAATATAATGTAACTAGTATGAATATCAAGAATCAGCTTTATATATTTTCTTATTTGTTCTAATAGTCATTAGGTGGTTGTTTAATTTAGTCAGTTATCTGTTTATATCAATTCTTTTGTTTACCTGTGTTTCCAATACTCTGTGATTTTACCTGACAAAGTCCAGTTTTTATTCACTGATTCTAGTCTTTGCCTTATTTCAAAAACTGTTTATATTTTTATTTATTATTATTATTATTATTATTTTTTGAAATGGAGTCTCACTCTGTCACCCAGGTTGCAAGGCAGTGGTGTGATCTCGGCTCACTGCAACCTCCACCTCCCGAGTTCAAGAGATTCTCCTGCCTCAGCCTCCCGAGTAGCTGGGACTATAGGCACGTGCCACCACGCCCGGCTAATTTTTTGTATTTTTAGTAGAGACAGGGTTTCACCATGTTAGCCAGGATGGTCTCTATCTCCTGACCTCGTGATCTGCCCTCCTTGGCCTCCCAAAGTGATGGGATTACAGGCGTGAGCCACCGCACCTGGCCTTGTTTATTACTCTTTATGTTACTGTATTCCTCTTCAGATATAAGGGCCATAAAGATAAACTTGTCTATCATGCTGTTGAAATCTACTTTAAAGAACTTCTTAGCTGTCCATCATTTATGCCTCTATGTGAATTTATGTCATGGCACCTTTGCCAGTGCCATTTGCATTTTCATGAAAGTGCTGAAACAAAGTCTATGTGCCTTTGTCAATGAGTTTCAGGAATCTTTGAGCAGGAAGGAACACTATTTGGGAGGTAATAGAATCTTGATGCTTCTGTATTTATACCCTTTGGGAAGTGCTGTGGTCTGGATATTTGTGTCCACCCAAAATTTATATGGTGAAACATTAATTCCAAGGTGATGATATTAGCAGTGGGGTCTTTGGGAAGTGATTAGTCATGAGAGTGGAGCCCTCATGAATGGAAATCAGTGCTCCAAAAAAAGAGGACCTAGGGCTGAGTGCTGTGGCTCACGCCTGTATCCCAGCCACTTTGGGGGCCTAGGTGGGTGGATCACCTGAGGTCAGGAGTTCAAGACCAGCCTGACCAACCTGGTGAAACCCCATCTCTACCAAAAATACAAAAATTAGCTGGGCATGTGGCATGTGCCTGTAATCTCAGCTACTCGAGAGGGCTGAGGCAGAAGAATCTCTTGAACCTGGGAGGCAGAGTTTTCAGTGAGCCGGGATCGCACGTGCCATTGCACTCCAGCCTAGGCAACAAGAGCAAAACTCTGTCTTGAAAAACAAAACAAAACAAACAAACAAAAAAGGCCTAGGAATCTTCTACCATGTGAGGGCAAAATGAAAAGGCACCACTTGTGAAGAGGGCGCTCACCAGACACTGAATCTGATAGTGCCTTAACCTTTAACTTGCAGCCTTGAAAACTATAAGACATAAATTTCATGGTTTGTAAGCCACACTATCTATGATATTTTCTCATAGCATCTGGAATGGACTAATATAGGAAACTTTCTCTCCTCTGGTAGTCATTGGATACATTATTTCTTAAGACCAATATACTGAAGTGAGT